CTGAAATTGATAACAATTACAACACACCCGTCAGGGTTCTACTTACCTATTAATTGTAGCCTGGTAAATTACTAATTATACCTAGTGTTGAAAAATTGAATCATCAAAGTACATACAGTGTGACGGACGGCAGTAATCAGGAATCAAGTAACCAAATGTCTCAACTATCCCAGACAACAATGTTTAAATGCTACAAATGCCAAAATCCATGCAAGTCCAAAGAGGAAAAGGGTGAACTTTTTGGATATCCTTGCGATTGCTGCAAGAAGATCACTTGTAAGACATGCTCGCAGCTCTCGAGCTCGGAAGTTCGTTGTCTATTCATGAAGACTCGAGTTAGAATCGGTGTCTTTGATTGTATGAAAAGTCTTAAGGAGCTGAGGGGTCCTGGTACCAAAATCGAGTCTGAAATGAATGCTACGCATAGAGAACTTAAGCGTGAAATGACCAGCCTGTCGCATGATCTGAAAGGCACACTTGAAATGGTGGCCGAGCGAGTAGAGAGAATAAGGAAAGAAATTAGCAATGAAAATAAAAGGAAAATTTATTCTGAAATTGAAAAAAAACATGAAATATCTAATACAGCGACGTCATCAAAAACTTACGCTGATGTTGTTACTGAGACAAATTTACTCGAAAAGCAAGTAAAAGAACTTGAGAGTAAAATACAACAGAAAAACACTGTTCCCATTGTAAGCTTAGCAAACACCAACAATGAGAACACTATAATTGAACTGCAGGAGAGAGAAAGAAGAGCTCAAAATGTGCTATTGTTTGGAATTCCTGAAACGAACAATGTAGGACGAGAGGACTGGAGAAGACTGGAGATAGAAAGGGATATCATCAAACAAGCCCTAAAAAAGTCAAACAATGGACAGGATCCAGAAGAGTTTGAGTACTTCAGGCTTGGAAAGTACCAAGCAGATAAGATCATACCAAATAAAGTCATACTTCTAACAAGAGAGGCTGCCTTAAAGTACCTTAGGGCCAGAAGCAGAATTGTCCAGGAAAATTCCTATATTAAGCCAGATCAAACAAAGAAACTTTTTAAAGCAAGTACAAGCAAAAGTAAGGGAACGAACGGAAAAGGGTGAAACTAATTTAAAGATAAAATATATAAACAACACTCCAACCATTATCAAAAGTAATCAGTCAACAAATCCTAAACTAAGCACTCGGCCTCAGTTAGTCGAGCTAGGTTTTTATTATACCAACGCAAATTCATTATTAACAAAAATCTCGGAGCTCCACGTCGAGGTCTCAAGATTGAAACCACTTGCCATACTTGTGTCAGAAACATGGTTAATACATCCAGGAATACCTGATAGCATGATCCATTTCAACAACTACTCAGTGTATAGAGATGATAGGCAACACAAATGTGGAGGGGGTGTAATCATGGTCGAGGATGTACTGAATGATCTAATAATACAGGTTTCAGTGAAACAAACCACCCAACCTCCCCAAGATATTAACTTCTTACTACTGGAAATAAAAATTTCTAATTGCAAATTCGGTCTTGTTTGTTTATATCGACCACCAAATGTTGCTCCAGAGGTGAATGAAGATTTTATCACCCAACTAAACAACATAACAGCCAGCTAAAGAGACATAATAATTGGAGATTTCAATTACCCAGAGATCAACTGGAAAACACTTGCTCTGTTCCACAGTTAAAAAATTTTGATACAAGAGTGAGGAAAGACCAACAATGCCTTCTTGATCTATTGTTAACAAGTGATAAAAAACTCATTGTTAAAATCACGTCGGAACCTCCCCTTGGAATCAGTGACCATGTAGCAACTTATCCGGTAGCCCAGATCAAAACAAATGAAATATTTACACACAAGATAAGCAAGCGCAACTTCTGGAAAGCTAATTGTGACCAACTCAACGAAACTATACGACAAACTATTTTTACCAATGATATGGACAATTGCATTAGAACCATACAAAATATTGTTGAAGATAATATTCCTCTAAAAAGTGTAACAAGCAATTCGCAAAAACCCTGGAGTTCAGACCGCATGTTCAAAAAAATATCGTCACCAAAAGTATCTGGGACACAAATAAATGCATAATTATCTCTGGACTAATTCTACTGTCATTGATTCATTTCAATGCATTTAATTCATAGTTTGACAAATATTTGACAATAAAATTCATATAATAGGACAAGAGCTAATGTGATGCTGTCCCAGTTACTTTTGGTGACGATAGTACATAAATACAAAAACAAATGAGACCTATCAGGCATATAGGAGTCACAACAATCATCTTAGAAACCAGTTAAACAATATGAATCTGCTCTGCTAGAAAGAGCTGATAAATATTTCTAATCATATATTAAGCGCTCTATTAACTCTAATTTTACATCAATAACTTTAAAAAACCAAGATGGTGAGGTCATCGAGGAACTTGCACAGACTGCAGAATCCTTGGCCACTCAATTTGAACAATTATATACCCAGGAAACGATGAATAATTTTCCAAGTATGCCAATAAACACAAGATGCTTAGATGAAATATCAACTCTTACCCTTTCTTCAGATATAATTTTGGATATATTGAAGCATGTTAAAAAAGATTCAAGTCCGGGGCCAGATCAAATTCCACCTGTCTTTCTTGCAAACTGTCGGGATTCTCTAAGCGATCCACTGTCTATCGCCATAGAAACCCTTCTTTTTGACAACACATTTCCAAAGGCTTGGACTGAAGCTGTAATTACACCTCTTTACAATACAATCCGGAGAACTATAGACCTATCAGCCCAACTTCCAGCCTATGTAAAGTTATAGAGAAGGCAGTTGCGAGGGAACTTACTAGGTTTTCTATGAATAATAATGTTCTACCCAATAATCAGCACGGATTCCTCCCAAAACGCTCAACTATAACGAATGTCAACCAATGGACTGCTGAAGTTGATGCTAGAAACCCTGTCGACATTACATATAACCTCGATTTCGAGAAAGCGTTTGATAAAGTCCCAATAGAACGACTTTTGTACTTTTCTAGAAACTCGAACATTTTGGTGTAAGAGAAAAATTACTTCGTTGGATAGCTGCCTTCTTGAGAAATCGGACATATGTAGTGCGTGCCAATGGTGCTTTATCTTCCAGTCATCAAGTCCACAGTGGAGTACCTCAAGGCTCAGTCCTGGGACCACTCCTCTTCTTGGGCCCGTATTCTCGTGACCGAGGAATAGCGTTCTCTGTCCTTGTCAGTGTTTTGGAAATAACAATATGTGCGACTAAGACAGAACAATCGTTCTCTGGGGGAATGCTGTTCTCTGGTGACGAGAATACGGGCCCACAGGTCTACATAAGCGACATATCTTTCAACGTGAGCTCCTCTATTTTATATTTTGCAGACGATACAAAACTATTTTGTCACCCAAATACAAATCATCACACAGCTGATCTAAATCAAATTTCTGAGTGGAACAATGTATGGATGATTAAACTCAAATAGCAATAAATGCACGGTTTTACACGTTGGATATAATAATCCTAAAGCTACATATACTCTCAACACTCAGATTGCGGCAGTCGACGAACAAGTTTATTTGGGGGTCATAGTGAGCTACAATCTGAAATGGGAACCGCATATATCGAGCAGAGTATAGAAAGGATTAATGACCATTTTCACCAACTATTTTAGGGAAGCCCTAACGATAGGTATGCCTTAACGTTCATTGGCCTTAACTGACATTTCTCCATGTAAAAATGTAATTTTAGGGAATAATTATCGTTAGGGCTCCCCTAAAATGGTTGGTGGAAACGGCCATAAATACACTACTGTATTCAATCCAAAAAGCATTAGCAAAGTTGTCAGTGGAGATGATGAAAACCTTGCTAAAAACGTACATTCTTCCAAAATTGGAGTATGCAAACTCGTTATGGAGCCCATATTATGTTAAAGACATCAAGTTATTTTCGGCATCCCATCATTAAAGGAAAGACGCGATAGAGGTGATATGATAGAAGTCCACAAAGTTCTCTCTGGCTACTATAATCTCCTGATTGAACTGCCAATATTTCACCCTAATAACTCGCGTAAACTTAGAGGCCATTCGAAAAAACTCAAAAAAGAAAAGTGTTCGCTTGTATTAAGGAAAAACTGCGGTTCATTTGTCCTAGTTGTATGTAGACTTATTTGGATCACTATCCCAGGACTTGGAATTATTGTTTTTTTAGGAATGCAGCAAACATATAAGTTCTATTTTGTGTACTAGTTTTCAGATAATAATTTTTTATAAATAATTGTATTTATTTTAAAAAATTTTAATGGTGGCCTCATTAAGAGCATAGTGATCCAAATAAGGCCAATTATTGCAAGTGTCTGTTTTACACAAAAACCACCACTTATATAAAAAATAAAATAAATTGGAGTTAATATTCAAGTAATAGAAGCGAAACTCTTCACATATAAGCTCGTGATTTTTGTTGGGTTTGGTGGATAATGTAAGGAAAAAATAAAACTTCTTAACGTGGCCTTATTTGAGACAGGTACATTATATTTTAGTCCTGATGAAGCTCTAAATTTTTGGGCGAAACGTTGGCAAAGACTTAACAGGCCTTTTATTTTTCTTGTCCTAACCGACGAATCACCCCCTTCATTGGATACCTATAGGACACGAACTTCACTTAGTATTAAAAATAATAATAATAATAAAATGTGTTGTTGAAGTTTGCGTTTAACAATAAAACTACCTAAATTGGAGCAAATAATCATACAGCTTCATTAGGAAAAGTATTTTTGGTTTAAATTTGCACTTTAAAACAACAAAATGGTCACAATTTGCTCTGAATCTGTCCAGAAAACCATACATTTTTCTACTAATTTTTTGATATCTTAGTTCAACTTCTTTGTCAATTGGCAGTCAACTAAGTTAAACTAATTTTACAGGAAAATGACACATTTGTTCTTGTCACAAGATTGCTATCACGTTGTTGCAAAAATTCTCTTAAAATTGAAATTATCATTATTTTTTTCTATAGGTAAAAAAAAGCCGCAACAACACCAAACCCCTTGTCCGTCGCAAATCCGAACTGCCCCAGGACCAATACACCGTCAAAGCCCTGAGCGATCATAAAAGGGCCGACGAGTACCTTCCTACGCCACCTGACGTCAACAAATGCTAGTCGTGTCTTTATTTTAGCAAGCTTAGTGCCAATTATATTCATCGATTATTTATATTATGATAGTATAGTGTCGTCGGATGGTGCTGGTTCGAGAATTTTGGTGCTCGAATTTGATATAATGATAGTGCCTAAGAATTATAATCAAACATAAAGATTCGACAATTTTTAATATTTTTTTTTTCCAAGTGTGAGGCATTGAAATTCTCACAGCTTATAATATGATGAGTTTATTATTCTAAGTTGCAAATTTTTTTTTTTTTTTGATTTATTATTTTCTTATTGGTTTATTGTTTAATACTGTACACTATACTTATAAAGGACTAGTGGCTGTTAAATAAAGTAGGGAAAAGGGTTTAACTTATTTTTATTCAATTAATTGGAACAAGTACAAACTGTTAGGTTCATGTTTTTCTGAAATCCCTATACATTAAGGATAAAATGAAGCAGTAAATTAACAAAACAAGCGAGCCTTAATTTTTTTCCTCTTAAATTAAACCAGCCATTTGGCCCCTGATTTTTAACTAGAAGCAGCTTTCATTTTTTGTCTTTCTACATCTGCTCGTCAAAGATTGGGGCCCTGTAAATGTAGAGTAACTATTACTATTTTTGCTTCAATAATGAAGTTTTTTATTGCTTGTCTTTTAGTTGTTAATTATTTGTGATTCGACATTATCCAAAATAATCAATAAAATGGTGAGATTAGGTGTAAAGGTTGAAATCTCTTTTAATCAATACCTACATATTACTCAAAAAAATAAAAAAAATACAGTGAAATCTCTCTAAGGCGGACAAGATATTGAATAATACAACAGAATTTAATAAAAAATCAAGAGAAAATTAGTATTTTTTTGTCATGGCTCTTGAATCTATTTTATTTGATTGTTAAAATTTGGTTGGTCCTCTATAAATATTAGATTGCTTTGTTCAAATACCATTATTGAGGGTGTCCGTTATGAGAGTTTTGACTGTAGATAGATGTAAATATGGGCTTAATTCTAAATATAGTTTATTGTTAAAAATTTGTATATTTTCTCAAGAAATTCTCTTGTAAAGCGTAAAAATGTTCTAACAAAAAGAAAGGAAACATCAGTTGAGCTACTAACTGTTGATTTATCAAATAGTTATTGGCTCGATCCACTTAGTTTTTATTTATTATTATTATTATTATTATTATTATCATAAAATTAGTTTTGTGTATTATAACAATAAAATATCAATAGAGTATTCAATATGATGGCCAATAGATTTTTTCATATATTTTTATGAGTAAAAAATGTGCACTAAAAATGTACAGTAAATAATTGAATATTGTTAGGAGACTTAGTAGGATCGCTTTAAATGTATCTGTGAAACACTAACAGAACAAAATACCTAGGTCTAATTTTTTGCAGTTTTTTTTTTTTTTTGATTACCTACCATCGTTCATACATAATTCAATAATTAGTTTTTAGGAACATTTATATTAAGAAATACTTATAATTTGTGTGGCGAGATTTAAAAAAAAAATCTGTATAGTATTGTTAAGGAGTTGATATTGTATTAGACAGTATTTTTTTAATGTACAGCTTTGCTTTATGACGATGATGAATATCTATTGATTATAATAATGTTTCAAAAGTATTTTCGTGTTTTAGTTTTGTACCCTTTAAAATAATTTTTCACTAAAACTAAAAAAAAATAAAGATTTTAACGAAAAATTAATATACAGGTTTTTCCCAAATGATAACTTCAGAACGCATCCTCGTATGTTCCACTGTATAATTTTTTATCATTTTCTTTAACAAAGCCTTAACAAATATGGCATTGCCGATTTTGTAACTTAATTTTCTAACGAAAAATGCTATAATATACCATGAGTTACATTTAAGATTCGAAAGTTGACGTCACTTGACCGAAATTGAAGTAAAAGTGGTGAAATTGGATGACATTGGTAGAAGCGGCACAAAAAGTTAGCCAGAGCCTCAAAATTTCAATTATATTGGATGACGCGTTCCGAAGTTATTACCTGGGTGTGTATGTATTGTGATAAGTTGGGAACGCGTCATCTAATATTGAAATTTTGTGGATTTAGACTTAACTTTTTGAGTCACTTCTACATGCTTTATCCCATTTTACCAGTACTTTATGTAAAATTATTATAAGCGAAACTTGAGGAAATTTCCATTTTTTTATCATTTCTCAGATCTTTCTCAAAATCCGTTCTCTACCATTTTTCAGTTTCGTCTACGCGCCCTGTATATAGTTGTAGGTTAAATTGGGTATTTAGGATGTCAAATCCTATTTGGGAATGGAAATTGATTCGTTTTTCTTTTCTTCTTTATTTTTTGTTTCTCTTATTCTAATTGAATAATTGCGCGTTTTTATGCCTAAGAATTGATACGGCTTTGTTGATTTTGGCTTTGAAGAATGCGCGCGTTAAACACTGAAAGTCCTTACATTGTTGACCAGTTAATCAATCGCCAAAAAGACTAAGTCCGTTTCGTGTGGTTCGAGAAAATAGACCGTTTCTTTTCGCTTGCCGTGACCGGTTTCAATCAAGACAGTTTCATTTATACTCCTTCGCATTGGACTTGAACTTCCTGAAAGAGTTGGCCAGCTGATTGGAGTTTAGCCAGGTAAGGTGAAAAAATATCCTCTTCAGTTTCGATCTGTCAATTTAAAATCTTTCATCGATTATCATTCTATCAGCAACCTGTGGATTTTCCAGTTTTAATTTCGCACAACCATCAAATTTTCGACGTTCTTTATGTCTTCAAAATTCGCAAAATAGGCTATTTTCAACCAAAAAGTACCTATGAAAGATGTATTACAGAGTTGCAAATTCCACGATTACGACAAGTACATTTCAGAGTATACTTACTAAAAGTTTCAGATTGGCAGCTATTTCTAGAACTCCAAAAATACCCAAAAACAGTAATTTTTAGAAAAAAAAATCACTTCTCAGATCTACCGTTTTGAGATGTTTTTCTCATAGGCTGAATTAGGTTTTTTTAAAAAAATGACCTCTGCCAAGATTTATATGGAATAATAGCGAAAGGTAAAAATAAGAAAACTCGGTTTTCTATTAGACTTTTATTTACAAAGAACCATTGAAAGATTCAGGAGAAATATAAAATGTATACAGTATTGACTTACATAAGTACTATAATATACAAAGAGGATTATTAGTAAAATACAATGATACAAAATAATAATTAATTAAGCATACACTTTAAAAAGAATATAACAAAAATAATTTCATATATGTATGTATTTGGTAATAAAAAGATTTCATATAAAATAAATTTAATATTTACATAAAGTAATTCACTTTTTTTTTCAAGTGAAGTAAATAACTAAATCAGAAAATTTTTAGTTAATTAATTAACTAATCAAAAATTTAATAGCTTCTTTATTATATTTTCTTTTTAAGCTCAAGTTGAAATATAATCAAAATATAAAACTCGATAGCCTTCATGATTAATTTCACTTACATTTTATCAAATTTCAGTACAAATTTTGAAAAATCCCACCGTTATTGAGATATCCGCAACCGACATTAATGTTTTACAAGTATATAAGTTATTAAAAACAGCTATTGTTTATTAATTATACATGTAAAGTCCGTCGATTTTGATCTGATACTCGAAAAAAATTGTGAGCTGGTGGCATCCTACATTAGACCGCCAATAGCCACCTGTTTTTGCCATATACTTCAGCTTCAACCCCTCTTCTCATACGGAAAGTGTCAGAATAAAAACGACAGACGATACCCACATTGATAAGTAACATTGATAAATTTGCGTTTCTCTCAACGTAAAATTGTAGTTTTTTTTCAGTTAGGCCTTACTTCAATACCCTATAAGCCCGGTGTGTTTCTCACTTCATTTTTAGATTAAAAATATAATGTCATTTAAGCAACAGTATTTTTCATGATTTATTTAAAAAGGCAAAAATGTTTTATATTTTTTTAGCTCCTAATTTCATGGGACCGCTCGTGGTGGTCCTAATGGCTCTTCTAGCTTCTAATTCTTTTTGACGCATACATTTTTTTTCTTCACGCTTTTTCCTAGCTTCTTCTAGTTTTTGGTTACCTGAAAAAGAAACTTCAATCAATGGATTCACTATGGAATTTTTTTTAAAAAAGTCTCTAAAGATCCAAAAATATTCAATCGCAATAAATAAATTATCATACCAATACTTGAATTTTCATCAATTGGCTCAAATTCAGTATCATCCCAACCGGTTTGCGGTTTACGGTTGCTCATTTTGCCGTTTTCAGTTTTCATTGGAAGAATCGGTGTTGTATCGGTAGGACTCCAAGCATCAGATGGAGATGTCAATTCTGCTTCGACATCCTTGAAAAAAGAAAAGTTATTAAAAGCAAAATCAGAATAATTTTAGTATTTACGGGTTCTTCCTCTAGACTGCCCCATTCTTCATTGTCCCAACCGTCGATAACTTTGGCTCCTGCTGAAACCGAGGGTGGGCTTGTTGGGTCACTTTGAGTACCTGTAATTCCTCCACTGCCGCTGCTACTTGCCATTTGACCACCAGTCTAAAGATAACAGTAAAAATGTAAGTTATAAACTGATTTTTGTGGAAAAATTTCCACTATTCGTATGTCCATTTAGCAGTGAACAACTTTCAGTGACATCAACATAACAACCCTACAAACAATTACAAGAATTTTGCCTAAATATACAGAGTGAAGTGAGTGAGTGAAATTCTATATTCCAACAGAATATCAAAGACAAAAGGGATTTGTTTTGTATTATAATTAAATAATAGATATGTTTGTAAAAACAATTATTTGATATTGTAACTCTTTACCTCCATGTCACCCCAATTCTCATTATCTCCCCAATGATCATAATCATAGTCTGACACGGATTCATTTCCTCTGCTGCCTTCCTCGTGTTCAAGCGACGTCATTGATGTTACGCTAGAAGTTGTTGTCGAAATACTGCTGCTAGAAGGTTGTTCTACAAAAAAAAAACAATTTAAACATTGTACTACCATTTCTTAAAATTATATACCTAAAGAACCAGGCTTGTTCAACATTTTATTAGCAAAAGTATTCATGGATTTCACAGTATCGGATTGGCTCCTGTAAAATTTGGCAGTAACGGCGGTTACCGCCCAACCTGCCCATGTTGCTGCAGCATTGCTGAGGCTTGGAGTTGCGGTATTAACATCGGCTTCTAAAAATTTCAAATATTTTTCATTACACAAGTGAATTTGAGTACTTAATTTACAATTATTTAACAATCTGGAGATTTTTTCCTTACCCATGCTTTCCCTCAAACTAGGATCTTCCGAAACCTTTTCTAATTTTCCTAAAAACCCTTTGATAGTCCTAAACACTGAATCCCTAACAGATTTTTCTGGATCCAATGCCAAATGGCAAAGAGCTGGCAATATCCTTTGAGACACTTCCGACAATAAATAATATTGTTGTGTTGCTGCTAAAGCTAGAACACCTTGAAAAAAAAAACAATAATTATTTAATAAAAATAACTAATATTAACCATTCATACCTGCATTTCTTGCTGGAGGAAAGGGATCTCTCATAGCCCTAATAAAAGCTGAAATCAAAACCTTCTGCCTAATTTGAGGATGTAAATGATGAGCGATTTTTCCTAAGCACACAGTCGTGTTGGTCCTAATTCCACCTTGATCGTCTTTGGCTTGAAGCCTAGCAAAATGTCTTAGCACTTCAACGTTCAAGTTGTTGTAACTTAACTTAGGAGCTAGGTGTATCACAGACTAAAAACAAACAAAACAAATTTAACTCAAAAATAAGTATTATTTTTAACGTCCTACTAACTTTAACAGTCTGTTCTCGAATTGTCGGATTAGTATCCATAAATCCATGAGCAATTTGGGGAAAAATCTGATCGTTTACAGTGCTAGCTTGCAAATGACCGATAAAATGCTCCAATTGTTGTAACAAACGTGACCTAGTGGCTCTGTCATTGCTCCCAAATAATTTTACTACACAAGGAACAATTTTTTTTTGGTATTCTGTTTCATCCAAAAGCCTCCCAAGCTAAAAATTCAATCAATCAAATATTTAGTTATTCTTAAAATCAGAGCAATTTCTTACCTTAAACATTGGTGCTAAAACTGCTGAGCCAGCATCGCCATATTCGAAAGCAGTGATTAATTGTGGCAATATTTTATGCTTACAAACATTATCAGGGAAGTTGTCTAAGTGAGGTGTCAAATTGGAAAAGAATCGATTTTTTTCATTTTTATCTTTAATTTGAATTTCTTCCAAAAACAACAAAGTATCCACTAGATCGTTTTTGAAATATCCACCCAATTTTCTACATCTAGTTATAATATCAGCAGGATTAGGTCTAGATTGGGGATTAGTTCCTACCAGTTCAGAATATAAATTCGTCAATTGTCTGGCAACCTAAAATATTCAATAAAAAACAGTTCAAATCCGTATTAATTCTAACAAACTTTGTCTGAATTTCTCAAAGAAGCTTGTTGATAAAGAGGCCCATGGAAACATTCCCATATAAGACAGCCAAGGCCCCACATATCCGAAGAATGTTTGGTGATCGAACGTTGTTTGCTCGGGTCATTTTTCTCTGGAGGATCGTAGACTTCTAATGCAGGAGTTGCTTTGTAAATTGACACGTTCATTTCTTGTGCGCTGGAAACGTATTCGACACCTCCGAGTTTCCATTCGCCCGAATTGTTTACGAATACTGCCCAAATATTGACATTGTTATGCCTCAAACTTCCGTCGTTATTTAGAAATGATAATGCTCTCTGAAAAAAACAAATTACATCTTACATAACAAACATTATAGGAACTTATTAGGTATCATATCTTCGATTCTATTATAGATAGAAACTTGAAATGTTCAGTGAATTCTATCCTTGTGGAGGACTACACAATCCTCCCTGAAAATTTGAGCTCATTTGGACTTAATAACTTTTCTTTTATTAAATAGGAAGCTGAAATTTTCAGCGATTCTTGTGGAGGACTACAATCCCTGAAAATTCCAGCTCATTTGGACTTATAGTTCAAGAAATAAAATCGCATCAAGCAATTTGGGGTGAATTTTTCAATATTTCATTTTCTTGACGTCCTTTTTTCAAAGATTTCGGCTTCAAATCTTAGAATAATTTAGTGCATGAAGTTTGGGTGATCTCAAATGAGCATTTAAATACAAAATCTCAACATAAAAAAAATTAAAATTTCATTTTAGTACTTACTAAGGTAATAGACCTAGGTAAGTGGGTTGGGAAATGAAGTGTTAAGTGTTATATTAATGTTTAGGTATGGGTATGGACTCAGGTATGGTTAAAACAGAGTTTCTTTTATCCGCTTTAATGAAGATAATGTTACTTTTTTTGTGTGTGTTGTGTGTCTCTAGAAAAATTGGTTGGTGGTTTTTCTGATGGTTGTTTTTCCATAATTAGAGAAAAGAAATGTTCCTCAATACCATTGAAAAGGTTCCAAAATTTAAAAAAAAAATCATACAAAGCTTCATTAACTTTGAGGATTTGCATAACTTGGACACAGTGCTACTTTCGCACTTGTTAACTTTCCAATGGGTCAAGGTATATGTATACACCATTGACCTCAAGCGTTATTATCCTTATAATACCGTTGATACCTTAATAACTATTATTGACCTGAATTTGAGTGGGAGGTGGTTGTATGACTTGAGGCTCTCATAGATTACTGATTCTTTACTCAAAGTCTAGTCTAGGTATAGGAAGAGGTACAAGTTGGTTTGCAGTTTGCCTAATGAATAATTCAGGGCCATAATTAGCAGCATTTGGATTTATTTGCTTTTTATGAATAAGGCAAACAAACTCTAGGACAAAGATAGCAATCAAAGTTAGAATTTTGGGCTTTTTGAACGGTTTGCAATGTTCCCATGGCGAGCGCTGCTCCACTCATGATTCAAATAGCCCAATTTTGGATTTGCAACACTGAGTCAAAACTAGTTTTGGAACAGTAACCCCAAAAGACCACACCATACCTTGACATTTCTCAAGCTCGTTCCTTTTACCTGTCCACAATATAGTGCTATCATCAGCAAAAACATAAAAATTTTCCATTGATGTTGATGAAGGTGAAATCATTAATATAAGTAAGGAAGAAAATAGAGCCGAGAACAGATCCCTGTGGCACTCCTTGGGTTATTTCTTTACTGTTCGATAAGGATTGGTTGCAGCTGACTATCTGGGATCTGCCTGTGTTATAAGATAACGCCCACCTGAAGCCATAGTGACCCAGCTTCTGCAGCAGTATTTCGTGATTCACACAGTCAAAGACTTTTGAAAAATCACAAACCACCGCCGCAACCGAATCTCCCTCTTTAATATTGAGAAATACCTCCTGCAAAAGAGCAAATATGTCGTCATCCGTTCTTTTTTTTTGTAGAAATTCAAACTGAGATTGTGTGATAATATGCATGCAACATGGGCCGTTGCTTTCAAAACTGGAGTGGGGACCGTTTTCGCTTGGTTAAGGTTCTGTCTTTCGGGTCGACGTCAACGTGTTTTGCTTTCTGGGTAGCAACTCCGTTCCCGTTATATGTAGGTACAGTATGTCTGTGAAGTAACAGACAAATTTATTTTTATTTTATTTATCTGAATCTGAGGTGGCTGAGATTTTCGTCATTGACATTTATACCCATACTATCCCAATCTGTCCGTTTGCACATATACTGTAGCAATGTAGTAAATAATTAAGGGGAAATTGTATCGCCCTGTCGGATTCCACGATTTATATTAAATTTGTCGGTGTCGGCATGTAGTCTTACATGGGCTGTGGCAGTGTCATAAATGTTTTTTATGAGTGTTGTAACAATGATCGATACGACAGTCCGCTAGAGCCAGTAGTAGCTTGTGCTGGTCCACAGTATCAAACGCCTTTTCATAATCTACAAAGATCAATACTAGTGGTCTGTTGTATTCTACACATTTTTCTATCAGGGATTTTATCACTTGTAGGTGATAGTTCGTGCCGTAGCCAGACCGAAAACCAGCCCGCTCACAGGGTTGATAACTGTCGAGTTTGTTGGTTAGCCTTTTTGTGAATATTGCCATGAATAGCTTGTATACGCGGGACAAAAAACTCATCGGTCGATAATTTCTCAGATCTGTAATGTCGCCCTTCTTATGCATAATGACAATGACAGCATTTATCCATTGGAAGGGGGTTGTACCCTTTAGAAGGCAAGCATTAAATAGTTTTTTGATTACATATAGCAAGGTTGATCCTCCTTGTTTGATACATTCAATTGTTATGTCATCATCACCTGGAGATTTGTTGTTTTTCATATTTTTTAAGGCTAAAGCTAAAGCTACATCCTCAATCAATCTCGTAGCGAAGTGGCAATTTGGCACGCGTGCTGGAAAATTTATACCCATCCTCAATGCTGTCAATTTTCAGTCTGCTGTGCGTGTAGTACGGTCACATACCGTGCATTCGGTATTTTGATCTGAGTTCTATGAACATAAATTTACCATTCGTTTATTCAAAAAGTGTACTCGGTGCAGGCTCATTCACGTTCGTTTAATAAAATTTCGAGCCCTCTGATACAGCGTTTAACTGCTCTGTGCGCTCGCTGGTCACGTGATTACGGCTCCACTCTGCACTTTGAGCAAAATACCGAACGCAAGGATAACCTAAATTAATTTTTTAACGTACTGCGCATGACATAAGTCGGCACGCATCGAAAAAGCTGGCAGCTTGCAACGTTAAACAACATTTTCCTAGCTTGCGTGCCGAAGTGCCACTTCGCTACTAAATTGATTGAGGATGAGTCTTTATTTGATCTCACTGATGGTTATGTCTGGAACATCCTCAGATCTTACATTTTGAACTTCTGGTATTGGCTGTTGGTTTACAGGTCCAACTTGGTTTGAGTACAGCTCCGAATAGAAGTCCTTCACTATCCTTGTCAACTCGTCCCTACTTGAAACAATGTTCCCTTGTTAAATTAACCATTCTTAGGTATAATAAATTTGTAATCTAGTTTATAATCTCAGCACAACACAAGTGTTAAATCACTTAGGTGCTTTTTGAAGAAAAAAAAAAAAGATGTATTGTACTTCACATTGAATATTTATATACCCATTGTATACCTCTGTAGTGTGAAATAAATAAATAAATAAATTTCTTCAATAAATTTCTTCAATAAATTCCAGTTTGTCTGCCAACTTACAAATATTCCTTTTACCTGAGTTTAGTTTGAGTTTGAGCACTTTCATTCTTTTATTTTCTTCTATTGTTTTTGACACCTGTATTGTGTTATATTGTTCGTCGATTTTAATCTGATACTCGGACGGAATGTGAGCTGGTGGCTCCCTACATTAGAACGCCAATGGTTACCTGACGTCACACCTGTTTTTGTTTTTGCCATATGAAACACCCCCTCGCTCCTCATACTGCAAGTGTCAGTTAAAAATCGACGAACAATATGTCCTGATATCTTTCCTGATAGCTTCAGATACATCTTTATTTAACTGTGATAAGCGGAAGGAGTTTGTTGTATGTTTGTCTAGCATTTCTCTTCTTTTTTCCTAATTTTGAAGCAGTTTTTTTGTCTTGCATCTTGTATTGTATGGTTAATTTGTTCATTTAAGTCGTCAATATTTATTTGTTCTTCATTAATGTTTTTAAGATGTTGTAGGCTAGTCAGGCTTCCTCATAGGCATTTGCATCTTTAATATCCTTCGGGATAAGCTTTCGAGTTGTATTTATCATCTTTCTTTGTTCTTTTCTTATGTTGATAACACTTCTTCTTCGGACTAAACAGTGATCACTACCAACAGAAAATTGGTTTAGTATGGTGACATCTTGTATTATATCTCTCCTGTTCGATATTACAAAGTCGATCTCATTCTTCGTAACACCGTCAGGGCTCCGCCAAGTCCATTTGTGTTGGATATTCTTTTAAAAAAGATTTCCTTAATTACTTTCCCTTAAATCATATATCGGCGCTGCAACTCATTTTCTCAGAAAGCCGAGATCCATACTGCTGTATTTGGAGTTACTGAAATGCCTGTGATCTATGGTCGTTAAAGGTTTGCTAATATTGATTTCAGTTTATTTTTGAATGTAATTGGGGTGCAATTGAAATCAAAATTCGCAGGAATATGTGTGTTGAAGAGATGCATGATGCGATTCATGATACTATTTTTACCAACATCAGTCTGGCTTCTATTGGTTGAAAACATGCCATTTAAACACGTATCGCGTGAAGGTACACGAATGTTTATAAGTGCCGAAAGTTCTGGGCAGTTCACATTATTAGTTAGTATTTTGAACCCGAACATGAGTGTCAGAAATGTCCTACGCATCTGCAAGCTATCCATATTTAGCAGTTGCAAACTGTTTTTTAAAATTTAAGCATAATTTTTTTGGAAAAACACTTGGACATGTCGATCTTAATTTTTAGTGGTGCTGTTTTTAAACTAATTTGTATTTCTACAAGGTGATCCAAAAGAGAGATATCACGTGATACTTTAATTTTTTAAATGGAATGCCCTTTATATTTTAATGAATATTGATAGAGCTCATCGAGGCGAATTCTCAAAATATACAAGGCATTCCATTTGAAAAATCTTGAAAGTGTCATGTGATATTTCTGTTTTGGGTCACCTTGTATAAAGACAAATTAGTTTGAAAACAGCTCTACTAAAAATTAGGATCGACGTGCCCGAGCGTTTCTCCAAAAAAATTATGCTTAAATTTCAAATGAATTTATCCAGTATTTTATGGACACACTGAATATTATTGATCTGAACTTTTTGCCAATTAGAGGAAAAATTATTCAGTTTGTTGATGATACCACTATTTTTTGGTGTCACCCTGATTCGGCAGTACTGGGGGCCCTAATAGCATCTGAGCTGACTACTATTAGAGAGTGGTGTGCTACTAATAACTTGGTCTTTAAGGCGGGTATGTGTTATGGGGTTTAGTGCAGTGTTGATGGTCTGCAGCTTGATAAAAACAGTCACACAGATGACAGGGATGAGTGCCAGTTTTTGGGCCTCCCTATTAATGCGCGGCTTTTTTTTAAGGGGCACATTCTAGATTTGTGCAGTAAATTGTCATCAGGATGTTTTGCATCAAAGTTAGCTAAGCAGGAACTGGAAAAGGGCCTACATGGTGTATTTTGAGCTTGTTGAGTCGCACCTTCAATATGGTTTGCCGTTTTGGGGTTTCACATCCACAATCCCATCAATGTTTTTCTGATTTTGCAGAAGCCCAAAAATTTGTTTGTGCTGTGGGTTTTCGGGATTCGTGTAGACCATTGTTTGTTTCTGAGAATATCGAGGAGAATATACTCACTTTGACCAGCCTTTTTGTCTTGGAAACCTCTGTTTTAATATACAAATATTGTCATGAGCTCACAGTTACTAGTAGTAGTTATATGACCCGTGGTTTAAACAATATTCTGCTTCCCATACATTAAAACACACTGACAAAGCAATCTTATGAGAGCAAGAAGATCTTTAATCATTTGCCTGATTCAATTAGGTTCCTGATCAATTATTTTACGAAACTATATGTTCATTTTAAATTTTTTGCTCAATGTGTAAGAAAAATAGGAAAGGGTTCTAGAAAACGTTGGCGCATCACTGATTGCTTGTAAAAACATTGTTATTGAGATTCAAGTGTGAAATTAATAGATTTTATACCTCCAATGCAGTTTGTTTGTTCAAACTATGTAGGTACACAAAAAATAAATGAAAATGATATAGAGAAGGGAATACAACTTACAGTAATTTGAAATATTCCCCAAGCAACATACAAATCCTTCTGCGGCTCTTCTAGTGGGAGTTTCTCTAAATGACTAACTAACGGCTCTACATGTTCCGTGACTAAATAGAGAACTTTTTCTGATTCTAAACTATCAAGATATGTGAGTATGCTAGGATGACGAAGTGTCTTCAGCCGTTTAATGGCTGCTTTTGCGATTTCCAGTTGCGATTCCGAACCACTCTTGAGGTCGTACACAAAAATCGAAACTTCTTCGTTAATACCCTGAAAATGGAATTTTCCATTGCAAATCGTGAAACATTGCAGATTTTCGTTACCTTTTTCTTTCCTTTGTGCAGAGACCAAACGCTTTTGTTGTCATATACTTGAACGACTTCGCCTATTTCGTAATTAAAGTCTTTGGAAGGGTCTCGCGAAAAAAACGACCACATATTATTTATTATTATTGTTGGGGATTTATATATTTACTTTTATAACTTTTTTTACATCTATGTTTATCAATTATTTACAAAAATAAAACGCACATAACCTATATTCCACGACGACGACATGACAGAATGACGTTTTGACAGCTGGGAGACGTTCGAAAACGTAATCAGAAATATCGTATCGATATTTTCTCATATCACAAAGAATATCGTACCGTTAGCTATGCATATCGATAAACCCTTCTCTAGTGAGAGCCAAGGATAATACATACTACTAGGATTGCTTATCGGCTTCGTTTTTGGTAATCGCGTTGTTTTTGGTAATGGTGTTGCACCATTGCCGACGTCAATAATTAAGTCGTCAGCACTAGTCAGCAGTTTGCACTAGCGGTCGTAGTTTAGAATTTAAAATGACGAAAAATATAATTTAATTTTGATTAAAAATAGGCGAAGAGAGAGGTGCGAACGAGATCTAAAAAAAGAGTTGTTTTTCTTCATTAATTAACATTCTATAGAATGTTAATTAATGAAGTGAAGCGTATGCATAAAGCAAAAGCCTGCGGAATCATGACCTGTGGTGCAAACACTGGTGTTTTGGCATGATGGGAGTTTGAGATTTGAACTACACAGGCCTAATGAGGATAAGCTATCCTGTATGAAGGATAAAACACACAACTAAGGATTGCTTATGAGTCTCGTTTTTAGGAATCGCAGCCATATTGTGTAGCACCATTGACGACGTCATCAATTGCTTCGTCAACTATTTGCGCCAGCGGTCGTAGTTTAGTTAGAGTATACATTTATGATAAAAAATATTATTTAATTTTGATGAACATCGAACATAAAATCGAAGAGAAAGATGCAAACGGGATCTAAATAAGCGTCGTTATATAAAACCAAGTATGCATTAAGCAAAAGCCCGCGGAATCATAGGTGCAATGTGGTGCAAACACCCTACGTCAAGGCGAGAAACGCATCGCTGGTTCGTTGGCGTGGTTGGGGGCTTGAGATTTAATCTACACAAGCCTTATGACTCGAGAATATGCTATCCTGTAGTAGTAGTGTGTATTATCCTTGAGTGAAAACCACATTTCCAACCCCTGAGGGTCGGTTTTTCAATATTTGTATTCCTTTCAAGAGTTTAGAACACTGGAGCTACTTGCTCAGGTGTTAAGCTACATCCTCAATCAATCTGGTAGCGAAGTGACACTTTGGCACGCGTGCTGGAAAATGTATACCCATCCTCAATGCTGTCAATTTTCAGTCTGCTGTGCATGTAGTACGGTCACATACCGTGCATTCGGTATTTTGATCTGAGTTCTCTGAGCATGAATTTACCGTTCGTTTATTCAAAAAGTGTACTCGGTACTCGGTGCACGCTCATTCACGTTTGTTTAATAAAATTTCGAGCCCTGTGATACAGCGTTTAACTGCTCTGTGCGCTCGCTGTTCACGTGATTACGGCTCCGCTCTGCTCTTTGAGCAAAATACTGAACGCAAGGATAACCTAAATTATTTTTTACTGTACTGTGCATGACATAAGTCGGCACGCATTGAAAAAGCTGGCAGCTTGCAACCTTCACTTCAGAGTCGACGTGCATGAGTGCCACTTCGCTACTAAATTGATTGAGGATGAGCCTTTAGTCGCCCCCGATTTGAAAGCAACAGATGCGCTGGCTTTCGTGCATTTAAATGGTGAGCTCGGGCTTGAGCTATTCAGGTGCAACAAACACTTTTGGAAAGGAATAAGCGCGTAACACCCCGGAGCTCTTCCTAGGTGTGAAAGTAATACAACTATATAGTAGCGAGTCGCCTCCGGGTTGGTTTTAACTCGAGGCTATAAAACGTGTTTAATTGCAGTGTTTACCCATAAGGTCTGTTCGTGCAGAAATCACAAACCAGTTAGAGTGAATTTCATTGGTTGAAAACAACCAATGAAATTTACTCTGACTAGTTTGGTCTTTCTGCACGAACAGACCTATGCTTTAAGCCGGAGTCTCATGCATCCGTTTTCTGACAAAAGATGTCCGAAAAACATTCTATCCTGACATAATCCTATAGAAATATGTCAAAATAGAACGTTTTTCGGACATCTTTTGTCGGAAAACGGATGCATGAGACTCCGGCCTTACCCTTGCTTATTCCTTTCAAATCGGGGTTGACTACACCGGAGCGAGTAGCTCTAGTATTTTAAACTCTTGGAAGGAATACAACTATTGAGAAACCCGTCCTGAAATGCGTAAAGTTTTTATCGCCTCCGAGTTCCGACCCTCGTCCCAGACTTTTACATTTGATTTTTATACCTACTCTAGTACTTACTTTTTTATCGAACGCAGCTCCCCGTGATTTTTAATGAAAAAAAGAAGAACATATGGAACATCACACAGAATCATTGCACAGAACATCATCATCATCATCATAACCTCACATACCCATGTGTCATGTTAACAGTGTCAATCTTTTCAAATTTTAAATTATTTTTAAAATTTTTCAATAAATAAACATTATTTAATTTTTTGAGCCCTAATATGGGACGAAAACTGAAATTTAAAGACGTCGTCAAGAAGGGCTCTCAAGGTTCTAACAAGAAATCTTCCAAAGGTAATAATAAAAACTCCAAAAAACACAATCAAACTCGCAAAACCTACAGTCTTTACAAACCTAATAATAGTTTTAAAAGGAAAACCAATAATGACAATGACGATATTCCATCAAAAAAAAGGTTTAGTCCTGAAGATGAACAAATCCCTATCAAGCGACAAGAAGCCCCTGCACCTTCTTCGGAAAGTGAAGAAGAATTTGTGGATACCGATCCTTTGAAACAGTTAAGAGACACTTTTGGCGGTAATTTAAATGCTGAATCTGTTGTTAGTGAAAGTAGTAGTGAGAGTGAAGAAGAAACTGAAGATTCAAAGGAACCAGGCAGTAATATTGATGGCATGAATGGATACTCTCAAGAGGAACCAGCGTCAGGTATTATATTATAACTGAAGATAATTTTAGTTTTTCATAATAATTTAACTTCAGAAGAAGAAAACACAGATGAAGATTCTGACCAAGAATCAGATTTAGAAACTCCACAAGAAGAGGAAGCTATAGATAATTCAAAAGACCCATTTGTAAAACACGTTTCCTATGAACTACATCCTACCTTACTAGAAAGCTTAGAGTCTGTGCCAGAAACTGTAGAAGTACAAACAAAATCCTGGACCAGATTGGGCAACCTCGTCTTCCAAATACCAAAATGTGACATTAAAGAAACCAACAAAAAAACTAACTTGGATAATACAACTTATGCAACTCCTAGTCAAGTTCCCAAAAAAATCGACTCTAAAGCTACACCTAAGGAACTTTTTATTAAATCCCAAATAGCACCAAACATTCCCAGTGCCAACAAAAGCCTTATAAAACAAGATACAATATTAACTCCTTTGCAACAAGAATTATTTTCAATAATAAACAACTATCAAGACCTTTATTATCCAGAAAGGACGTTTGATAATGCTGAAGAAATTAGATTTGTTTATTGCTTGCATGCTATCAATCATGTACTTAAAACGAGAATAAAAGTTTTACATCACAATGCCAAACTATCCAAGAAGGATGATGTGCCAGAGGAGTTTCGGGATCAAGGATTAGTTAGACCAAAGGTAATTTTCTAAAGTTCGCCTTATGAGTCTAGCACTACGACGTCTGAAGGGCAAGGGGGAATAATGCCATTCATTTTGAGCTTATGCTGCCTGTCATAGGCATGCGCGTAGCGTTTTTAAATATTTCTTTTTCCTTATAAATGTAGGTGTGTAACATAAATAAATATTAAGGTATTTTCTATTGGAAGTCAAATAGGCAATATTGCAATTTTTTCATCCACATTCTTTCCAGTGTGCTAGACTCATAAGGCGAACTTTAGTTTATTTCAGAGCTTATGTGATTAACTACAATTTTTTTGCCAGGTTTTAATTGTTGCTCCATTCAAAAGTTCAGCCTATAAAATAATTAATACAATAATCAATATCATGTTCAAAGAAGACAAAGGCAATGTGATAAAGAAACTTAGGTTTATAGAAGATTATACTGGCAATGAGTTATATTTGCCAAAGAAAAATCCAAAGCCAGAGGATTATGAAAAAACTTTCACTGGAAATACTGGAGATGATTTTAAAATTGGACTAACCATCACTAAGAAGAGCTTGAAAGTATATATTTTCATATGTACTGAGGAGTCTTATTCTAAACCATTTTTTTCTAGCTTTATTCCGATTTTTATTCTTCTGACATCATTGTAGCATCTCCATTAGGTTTACGAACCATTATTGGAGCAGAAGGAGAACCTGACAGAGATTTCGATTTTCTAACATCAATCGAATTACTAGTCCTCGACCAAACTGAAATATTTTTTATGCAAAACTGGGACCACGTTCTTCATTTCTTCAAGCACATGCACCTGAAACCTAAAGATTTACATGGAACTGATGTATCGAGAGTCAGACAATGGTGCCTGAATTTATGGGCGAAATATTATAGGCAAACTCTTATATTTTCTGCGATAACTTTGCCAGAAATTAATTCAATTTTTAATAAGAAGTGTGCTAATTTTGCTGGAAAGGTTAAAGTAGCAAATGTGGTGGAATTGGGTTGTATGAGTCAAGTATTTGTACAGCTACCGCATGTGTTTCATAAATTTAGTGCAAATAATCCTGGGGAAGCTGTAGAGAAAAGGTTTAATTTTTTCGTACAAAAAATTTTGCCTCAACATAAAGATAGTTCAATGAAGCAGACTTTAATCTATATTCCTAGCTATTTTGATTATGTAAAAATTAGGAATTATTTCAAAAGGGAGGATATTAATTTTGTGCAAATATGTGAATATTCAAAGGTAAATGAATGATTTAGGATTTTTTGTGTATTAATTTACAATAATTTTCAGGATGCTAAAGTTGCAAGAGCCAGAGACATGTTCTATCACGGAGATGCTCAATTTCTAATATACACAGAAAGACACCATTTCTTTCACAGAATACGAGTCAAAGGTATTCGGCATTTAATATTCTATCAGCCACCGAATCTACCAAATTTTTATTATGAAGTTTCAAATTTGATGCAGGTAAGTCAGAGGATTTAAAAAATTGCTGAAATTGAATGAGGTATTTTCAGGAAGCAAATATGAACAAAAAAGTTGGCAGCATGACTAACATGACAGTGACTGTGATTTATTCAAAATATGATATTTTGCAATTGGCTGCCATCGTCGGTACAGAACGGGCTGCTAAAATGGTACAGTCTGAGAGAGATGTTCATATGATGGTTACAGGAGCTGATTAAAATCATACTAAATATATTGCCAAGCTGTTTTAGGTATAAGTAACAAAAAAAAAAAATAGATTTATACAAGAAATAATTTTATAATATCTTTATCTTAAATAGGACCCAAGGAAGCTATAACTAATTTAAGTCTAATCTCTAACAATACATATTAATTTAATCAATATCGTTATAGGGATATTCACTTAAAAGTTTTTTAAAAAAGTTACTGTTCTTCCGAAGATCTTCTAAATTGCTGAAATCTTCATTATCATCAAACCATGTTGTGGTCTCTAGTGTTGTTGACGTCAGTGGTAGGCTGGTCGTTGATGTTGTAGACATTGGTAGGTTCTGAGTGTCCATTATACGGATTTGACGTTGCATTTCTAAAATTGATAAGGTTTGTTTGGTAAATAGCTAATATTTCTATTTAAAGATTACCCAAAGGGCCCAAGACAAACAAGATAATTTCATTACCTTGCCCCTTTGAGACTCATTAGTGTCAGCGTGCTTAAAACCTTTTAAATTTATTACGTTATTATACCTTTGCAGACTGTTAGAAATATATTGAGCAGGTCACGTAATCAGGGAATAAAATATTGCACGGAATGTTACATGCAAATAAGTAAAAATGGATTTTGAAATGGTCATATATAGAGATTCTGAATTTAATCAAGAAAAATATGGAATATGGATGGGTTTAATACTAGCTGCTTTAGACTTTGATTTAAAAATTATTATTGTTCTACCTGCAAGTATGTTCTCACACTTAATCCCAACAAATTGCTGTTGTTGCTGTCTGCTAATTAATTTAGCAGCAACTCGCTGTTCTCCGTTCCATAGGAATAGATAATAAAGCGAAAGCATTATAGCGGCTAGAGAGACGAAAAACACGTACGCGACCACAGTCAATACACGCACAATTTTCTTTTTATGCTTCGGCTCGTACAACCGATCCTTGGCCTCTTCGCCGGCCAATTTTACCGAGGGTGCTTCCGAAAACGATGCAGTTTTCCATTGCTGCGAGTCGCATTTAGTCAATTTTATACCGTTGGATTTACAAGACATTTTTGTTTTTTGGTGATGTACTTTACTGCATCAATTGCACTATTGCCACTGACTGCAACTTCAAGTTTTCGGCCTGATTTTTAAAATCGATCATTTTTGCCTCTAACTAAATGTGTGTTAATTTAATGGCAACACGGAAACGAAATTGGGGCGAGAATGTTGTGATTTTATTCAAAGACTTTGAGGTTCACTGGCCGTAAGATCGCGATGATGCCGGGAAAATCGATGTTTTCGATGAAAGCGGGTCAAACGGCGTTTTGGTAACGAATTGCGCGTGCTTACCCTCAGTGGAATTTTGAAGTTTTATAAAGGGTGTTTGTGAATAAGGAACTGATGCACTGATGTGATAATAATGTATGACTGGGTTTGCGTTATTGATTATGAACTGTTATAATTACCCAGTAAACACAACTACATAAAGATGACGTAGAAATTTACGTAACTACTTTTTCTAATTATATAATTTCTAAGTGATCTGTGATGTTGAGCCTCAAAGTTGAAACTTTGTCTCAAACTTTGGAAAAAAAAAGGTACTTTATTTAAACCCTTAGAACATGAAAAAAAATTCTACATAGGTTCTTCCTATACTATACAGTCTATACTTACACACTATAGGTACAGTGCTACTATGCTAAAATATATAAAGAGTCACAGAGTGACACAGAAAGAACAGGAGAATAAAAGATCACAAGAAGCAATCACAAAAAAAAAACAGCAAAATTATTATTAGAGAAAGTGATTATTGATTTTTGCTCTAAAGTGCCGTACAATAAGATCTTTCAAACTGGCTGGTATATCATTATAAATTATTGTGATACCTTTACAATAAATTGAGTTCTTGCCCATATTACTGCGTATCTTTATTTTTTCCAAGTGATTGTTCTTGTGTCGTAACTATGAATATTATTTCTGGTAATAAATGTTATTGATGAGTGTTTGACCTTATTTATCACTGCATGAATAAAATTACACACCTGAATTTTATAAATGATTTCCAAATTTTGTATGTTGAATTTTTTATACAAAGGTTAGTTGAGAATCTCCTAGGCAAGCAATACCAGGTTTTTCATCGCCATGTTCTGTAAAATCATAAGTGGCCTGATGAACTTCCTCCTTGTGGGAAACCATATAGTATAGCATCCAGGTATTGGAGGTGGCAGTGAATAAGTGAGAAATGCATTGGTCTTAAAAACCTTTTTGGTACAATTCAACTTAGTCTTCTTAATACTCCAATAGGAGCCCGAATTTTTTTTCTAATATATTCCGTGTGGTATTCCCAAGACAAAGTTTCATCCAACCCAACCATAGCCCTAGGTACTTAATTTGTTTAGAATAGCAAAGTTCGCCACCGCTAACCAGCAAGGGATTCGAATAATGGATTTTTCGCAGGGAGAGGAACATATAGTTGGATTTTTCAATGTTTAAGGTTAATTTATGTGCATCAAGCCACTTTTGTGATAATGTTCAAGTCACAAGTAATTCTTTGTTGCAAAATCTCCAAAGAATCATCAAAATAAACCAACATGGTGTCATCCGCATACAGTCTAAGAGCGCCAGACAGATTGAGCTTGGAGATTGAATTTATGTATATCAAAAAGAGGGTCGGCCCTAAAATGGAGCTCTGCGGAACGCCACATTTAATACTTTTTTCTGAGCTTTTAATATCTTCCAAAAACACAAGTCTTCCACGATATTCCAAGTTTTTGCAGCTTAAGAAGAAGTATCTCATGGTTTACTGTGTCAAACGCCTTCCTAAGGACAAGCGCCACTACGGCTCCTTTTTTTTATTATTCAGATTTTTTTGTATATCGCTTACTAGATCCACTGTTGCCGAAGCGGTGTCACTGGATTCCCGGAAGCCATATTGACACAAGTACAGAAAATTTATATCATTCAAGAGCCTTACAAGCTGAGAGTTTACAATCCTCTCCATATTTTTTGACAATACGGGTAGCACACTTATAGGTCTATAATTGTGTATTCTCTTTATCACCCAATTTGAAGGGCGCTGAAACTTTAGTCACTTTTATTGATTTAGGCACAATACCACTAGTGAAGGACTGATTAAACAACTTACTCAGCAAACTACTCAACTCAAATCTGCACTGTTTAACAGTCTTAATGTCTATGTCATCGAAACCTGATGCCTTGTTTGGGTCCAGACTATTAATATCACTCAAAACCTCTGAGAAGTTGGCCTCCATCAAAGACCATTCACCTTCTCGTGATTCCTCTTTGTTAAGATCCATTGTTGAAGGTTTGATTTTTGATGCCAAAGATGCTGCCACGCTAATAAAGTAATCATTCATGCTCTCGAAAACGTCAGCAGGGTTGACAAAACTTTTATTTCCAACTTTCAGTGATGTTATGTTTCTATTAGAACTCGTATTTGAGATAATTTGGTTTATCACTTTCCACTCTTTTTTTAGCATTTCCTCTAACTCTTCCAAATTCAGCTTCATAGAAGTCCTTTTTTGCTGTAGCGATAACCCTTTTCAACTTTTTTGGGAGTCGATGCATTTATTTTTCAAGTTGACATTGTCTGGAGTCTGGATATTGCCTACTTTTTCTATGGCAATAGTCATTGGAAGTAATGGCCATTTTTACATCAGGGGTGAACCAATAGTTTTTTTTTTTTATTTATCTTGATTTGTTTGTGCGTGTAAACTGTATTTTTTTTAAAACAAGTGACAATAGCTTCGTAGTTATCATCCACGCTTTTACTAACATCATAGTTTTTGTTCAAGGAATCAAGATCTCTTAGAATTTTTGGGATATCGAGTGTTTTTTTGGATGCAGACCTTGTAGCGCTGCTGCGGAGTGCTTCTTTCCAGGAGAAAAAACTGCAAATCATGATCGCTAATATCAGACTGTACTATAAAAAACTTCACCCTGAGTATTATGTATATTTGTTATATGATCAATTAGACTTTTCGATTTCCTAGTTGGCAGGGTAGTGTTGCAGAAATATAATCTATTAGACAAGACGATATCTTTGTACTTTTCACAGATATTTGTCTTTGTTAGTAAATCGATATTTAGATCACCAAGTAAGATAAGGTTTTGATTTTTAAGGTCATGTTAGCTCATTCTGCAATATGCTCAATGTGTCATTCACATTATTTTTACTGTTTGAAGGATTGTAGATTGCTGCTATATGGAGACGGACATCTTCCAGGTAGATCTGAAGGTAGTTTATATTATTTGCTTCATAGAATTTTAGATCACTTTTACAGAAAATTGCACATCCTCCGCCTCTTTTAGTTCGGGATGCGTATGTTATTCCATAGTTGAGAAGATTGTAAAACTTTGCTTCCTGAGACTTTACCCATGTTTCACTCACCACAATAACATGAACGTCCGCCTCAATTTGAGCCAGGTGTGCTTCTATAGAGTCTAGTTTGTTTTGCGTTTTAATTATCTGTTGATCCATCAAGGTCAATGGTTTGACCTTTGCTTTCGATACTCACTGCCTTGTGCTTCAGGCTTTCTACCTGTTCACAGTTTTCAATATGTATGACCTTTGACGAATCCGACTGTCGACAAAACACCTTTATGCACGAACGGGCGTAAAAGTGCACTTTTACGCCCGCATTTTAAAGCGTGAAGTAGTACTTTTACGCCCTAGGGCGCCTTTTATGCCCGCGAGCCTGAAAGTTTCAAAAATAAAGAAAAATACGTCATTTTTTTAATAGCTATTTATACAATAAGTTACGAAATGAGCGTCTTTTAGGCACGCGACGTGAAAATTGTCCAACGAGGCAAAGCCGAGTTGGACAACACGTCGAGTGACTAAAAGACATCGTTTCGTAACGTATTGTATACAAGATTTTTTCTACTGGCATTTTATAATAAAAAAACACAATTTTATTTCATGTGAATAAGTCGATTACACCCAAAATCTTTGTTACCTGCTTTTACTTGACACCTGACACTTTTCATGCGATTTTCTTTTCAAAATTCGACATCAATAATTAAAATCCTAGAAAGTAGGTAACAACACAAAGTTCTGTTTTGATTAACCCAAACGTTCAATTCAGTAATTTCATTTTCAATATTCATAATAAATACAAAACAAAATTCAAATATGTGTTTAGTGTGTTTTTTATTTCTGAATAATGAATGACACTTTTAGGCACTAGTGCTTAAAAATTACTTTTACGCACTCATAAGTCACTTTTACGCATTCAAAAGTCACTTTTACGCACTGAGTGCCTAAAAGTAACTTTCACGCACTCAGTGCCTAAAAGAATGTCGTTTCAAAACTGAAATGACAATCGAAAAGTTGCTATTATGAAACGTCAGTAGAAAAAAAACTTTTTGTATTTCTATTGCTTAGTCCAAAAAATACCAACTTTTTTCAACAAAACAAGCTTTATTTCAATTAATAAGAATAATGAAATAAGCAATAATGGTAAAATTCAATCTACTTTGAAATTGAAAATACAATTTTTACAGTTTTTAAGTTTTAAAACCGGCCCTCCCACAAAAATACACAAAAGAACTGTTGCCTTCAACATTGAGTAAAAGCTGCATAGGGTGGATGGCTTATTTTTTTTGTTGCATTTTTCATATTAATGTATATGCCAGGCCAGGAGAGTTTCTTCTACCAAGTACTGCTGCTCATTTACACTATGTTGGGCACATCAGGAAATAAAGTCCTCATATGTTTTTTCATAGAGTCTTTTAGACTTTGAAGGTATACATGTTTCTTGGCCTCTTCAACTGCCTCAAGAATAAACTTGGGCATGCTATTTTGCTCCATTTTCTGACGCACTACCATCATAAGAATACCATACACGTACACTACACAGCACATAATTATTTGTTTGTATTGTTCTGGGTTGCTATAATAGTTACGTGATACTTTTGTCAACAACTGCTTCCTTGATCTAAATTTGACAAAACTTAGGACGTATTGCGGTAAAGATGAAAATTTATATTTTGAAATATTTTTGATTGATGTCATTACAAAAGTGAAAATATATAATTTTTTAAATATCAAAATGAAAACAGGCTCATCGTGCATAAAATCTTGTATGCACCTCAGTCAAAAAGAGCTTTAACGCTGCGGGCGTTAAAGCTGTACTTTTTGACCTAGGTGCATAAATAACTATTTCATCCCTAACCCAGACATACTTAAAGTTGCTATATTTCAACATTCTAGCTGTGTTGTGAAGCGTCCTGAGATCCTTTGGTAGATCTTCATTAACAAATACTGGCCGTTCATCACCACTCAGTGGATGTTATTTTTCCTTTTGCTTTTCGACTCACCAATATTTCATCCTTTTTTGTCTTAGAGGATAGTTTTCTGGAGGTCCTCTAGGGTGTTATTTGAAAACTGCATATATTTTTCAAGGCCGTTAAATTTATCCTGCAAAATCTTTTTCAGTTCAAGTAGGTAGAGTCAGAATCATTGCAATTGGCACACACTCTTTAAAATCCCTCGTATTAAGTCAAAATTCTAACCAATAAATCTATTTAGTGCAGCATTTTGCTGCTCTTTTAACGTGTTTTTGTTAAACGCGGTTGACCTCACTTTTGCATGTTGTGCAAAAATATGACGTTTTTCCACTTTTTATATGTCGCTCTCCTTCAGCCCAGTGCATTTCAGATGCATCCAGACACAACATTCACCACTGCATTTTACTTTATACCCACTTTTTCCGATATTATGGCTACAAAGTTTGCAACACAAAGGCGCCATATCCGCTCGTCTGTGGAATCCGAAAAACAAAAAAATATACAGGGTGTGCCATTTAAAAAACAAAAATTCAAGTCATTTCCGGTGAACCGGAAGTCAGGAAAACTTGCCATAGATGCATAAAAATGGCGTTTGGTTAGAATATCAAACCTACCAAGTTTCGTTGATATCGATGAACAAATAAAAAAATTGGCAGCCGGAAGGTAATCTCGTGGGCACCCGGTATATAAACACTAAAACACTTACCAACCTTTACTTTAGTATTTACTAGTATGCACATAAACTTGACATAAAACTAATCTCAAATTTATATAAATTTAAATGTCACAGATGTGTTTATCGGGTTTTGCACCTGTCCTTGACCTAAGTTTGCGTTGTGTACTAAGTGGGCCCTGGTACTCTAAATACAATTGTTCAAAATAGCAAGAAAAGAAGAATATTTCCTCAGCCCCTAACTATTGTCAATCACCACTGATAAATCTCCCAAGTGTAGAAGTATGTTCCATTTTCCTTCATTTCTCCCTCAT